TCTTCACTTCCTCTTCACTCTGTGTGCACTGATAACGAGGGAAGCCAAAAAGCCACCACCGATTGTCTCCTAAAACCACGCCACCAATTTTATATAGGAGTATTTAATGTTAGGACACTTTACCAAATAGGACAACAAGCATCACTAGCCAAGACTCTGGCATCCCGAGCCATTGATGTATGTTGTGTTTCAGAAACACGCATACAGGACCCAAGTGTGGTTATTCACCTAACCCCACCTGGCCAACAGGATGAATCTGCAAAATTCACCTTGAGGGTGTCAGGAGATGCGACGGCTAGCTCACGAGGATTAGCTGGTGTTGGGATAGCTTTAAGTACTAGAGCAGAAAAGACATTACTTGACTGGATCCCGGTAGATAGCCGAATGTGCGCTGTCCGCCTGAACGGATCAGTGAAAAGGAGAAAGGACTGCACTACTCGCCGATGCCTTTTCGTAATCTCCGCCTACGCCCCCACTGACTGCAGTTCGGATGAAACGAAGGATGAGTTCTACCAAAAGCTGTCTAGTTTGCTGCGAAAGGCTAGACGCTCAGATATAGTCGTTTTAGCTGGTGACTTTAATGCTCAAGTAGGGAAATTGTGTCAATCTGAGAAGAATGTTGGTGGCACATACGGAATTCCGTGCCAGCGAACCGACAACGGTGACCGTCTCCTACAGTTCTGTTCAGATAATCATTTGTATCTTGTAAGCACTAACTTCAAACACAAGGAGACACCGTTTGACCTGGCGACCCCCATCATCAAATCAACGCTGGACACAAATAGACCACATAGCAATAAACTATCGTTGGCGTGGGTCGGTAGGAGATTGTCGCTCCTTCTGGAACACGTGTGTAGATACCGATCACGCACTGGTCCGCGCTCGTATGTGCTTACGACTGAACGGACGTAGGAAACAGCTGGCGGTAAACCCATCACGTCCCCAGCTCGACTAGGGAACTAAGTCCCTATTTGAGGAAGAACTAGCTAAACACATATCTGAGTTCGACAGCTGCGCTCACCCTGAAGAAGCCTGGAAGAATATTCAGTCAGCCATAGATACAGCTGTAAAAGCTGTGAATAAGGTAAATCCAAAGGTGAGTAAAACCCATTGGATTTCGACTGCCTCATCCGAACTGATAGATGCTAGAAGACTTATTCCGGCGAGCTCCGAATTCAATGAGGAGCGAAAGCTGCACAAAAGGAAACTTACGAAAAGTCTCCGCAAGGACCGTGAACAGTGGTGGTTGACAAAGGCGAAAGAGATGGAAAAAGCATCGGCGATAGGCAACACCAGACAACTATTCAGGCTTATCAGGGAAACAGGTGGTAAAAAACAAATGATAAGCGAAACAATCTCCGAGAAAAATGGCACCATAATTAGCTCCCAGGATAGACGTCTGGAGCGCTGGAAAGAACACTATGAGGAGCAGTTTAATTGGCCCACAGACACACTTAACCTACCAGACATCCAACACCTCCCTGAATGGGAGATAGACACAGGTCCTCCGTCCTTAACCGAGGTTACTAAAGCTGTCACCAATCTGAAGCTAGGCAAAGCAGCGGGACCTGATGGATTGACTCCAGAGATATTTAAGTACGGAGGCGTCAGTTTACTGTCTGCGTTAACGGAGGTTCTAGGCAGCGTCTGGGAATCAGAGGAAGTCCCATCGGGTTGGTGTAAGTCACTGATCATCCCGATATACAAGAAGGGGGACAAGTCGTCTTGTGAAAATCACAGAGGGATTAGCTTGACTAATATAGTATCTAAAATCCTAGGCTTAATAATACTGCGTAGATTAAGTGGTTCTCGGGAGACACAAACACGAGAAAACCAGGCAGGTTTTAGGCCAGGTAGAGGGTGTATTGATCACATCTTCACCCTTCGACAGATTCTAGAACATAGGCATTCCTACCGGCGTCCGACAATCATTATATTTCTTGACCTAAAGGCGGCATTCGATTCTGTCGACCGGGAGGTTCTCTGGCGATGCTTGGCTGTAAAGGGAATGCCAAGAAAATACATTGCACTGATTAAGGCACTCTACTCGTACTCATTCAGCCAGGTGAGGGCTTATGGCGAGTTGTCATCTGAAGTGGTGACGACTAGTGGTGTCCGTCAAGGATGCCCATTATCCCCATTCCTATTCAATTTCATCATAGATGTACTAATGGACTTAACCCTAACTCACTTCAGCGACTCAGGGATTGACTTGCTACCAGGGAAGAATCTCGTTGACTTAGAATATGCGGACGATATAGTCCTTCTAGGCGAGGACTCTGACAAAATGCAGAGTCTACTGAACACCCTGAGCAACAATCTCCGCATGTTTGGCATGCGATTCGCCCCTATAAAATGTAAGATGATGCTGCAGGATTGGACTTCATCGACCCCTAGATTAGAAATAGGAAGTGAAGTGGTAGAACACGTTGACCGCTTCACTTACTTGGGAAGTACCATCAGCCCCAACGGGTTGATCTCAGACGAAATTTCAGCACGAATACAGAGGGCTAGGTTCGCATTCGCCAGTTTTCGCCGTCTCTGGCGTAGACGCGATATCCGACTATCGACCAAAGGGCGTGTGTACTGCTCAACAGTCCGCTCCGTCCTCCTTTATGGCTGTGAGACCTGGCCAGTGAGAGCAGAAGACATGAAAAGATTAGCTGTCTTCGATCATAGGTGTCTGCGTTCTATCTCCCGCGTGAAGTGGTATAATAAGGTGAGCAATATTGAGGTTAGGCGTCGAGTGCTAGGTAAGGCGGGGAAATCAATCGACGAGACTGTGAAATTACTTCGACTGAGATGGTTAGGACATGTGTTACGTATGCCTAGTCATCGCCTTCCTCGACGGGCAATGTTAGCTGATATAGGGTCAGGCTGGAAAACAGCTAGCGGCGGTCAAACCAAAACATGGCACCAATCAATCAAATCCACAACAGTTAATCTAAGCCACGTAGGAAGATGTAGACTTCCTGGTTGGGGCCCTCGGGATGGTAAAAACCAATGGTTGGAAACAATTGGTGACATGGCTCAAAATCGTTCTCAGTGGCGCAGATGCATCCACTCCTTGTGACTTATGATTTCCAATTAAACTTTTGTTCTCCGTTATTACTATTCCTTTGTCTCACACCTCTGTTTACTGTTTCCATTATGCATTTCTTCTACTTCCTTCTCTTGCTTTGCGTGCTACATAGATTGTGGCGACTTGAACTGCCGCACATATGTGCAAAGTTCTATGTCGAAAACCGACCGACCGTTCTTCATATAATTTGCATTTTTAATATTTTTCTTGTGAGTTGAAGTTCCTGTAGCAGTTTGATTAGTTTTCTGGGAAGCTTAGCTAGCCCCACGGTCAGCCTTCCCTCTCTTCCCGGACTTCAGACCGCTTAGAAATCTAGGGAGCTAGTAAACTAGGCGAGGTTAAATCAAGTAGAAGTGAGATAAAAATGCTTGGAAAAACGCATTGCATATTCACAAAAAGAAAGGTAATATGCATGTACGTGAACACTGGAGCACTCTTACTTAACGAAAGGTTAGAGCAGAAATATCCTGCTAACATCACAATACTACCGAGATAAAACATCCTCAGCATTCCATAGTGTTTGAGAATGATAACAATACTCATCCTGAAGACAACAGGTAACATATCCAGTCAGCGATAAAAACAGTTGTAAACGATGCTCATGAATACCAGTAAACTTCTGCAGCTTTCTCCGAACTGACAGCCATACAGAAAGTGATGGCAAACGACTCGGAACACAACGAGCAGTAAAAACTTATCAAACGGAGGATACTTAAAAGTCTCAAGAACGACCCTGAACAGTGGTGGGCGACAAAAGGGGAAGAAACAAAAAGGCCATTAGGAAAGGTAATGCCCGTCAACTATTTCGTCTCATTACGGAAATTGATTGTGGAAAACCTATTGCATGTCAAACAATCCCCGAGAACAACAGAACTACACAGAAAGGATGGAGGGAATGTTGAGCACGATACTTGGAGTGCCAATTGAAAAACAAAGGCGACAAAGCCAGGTGGACTTTAGGCCTGAACGGGTATATTCATTGTATCTACACCCTTTGACCGACTTTGTAACACAGACATATCTACCGACATCTAAATCCTGATATGTTTTAATCTCGGGCGACATTTGTTCTGTCACAGTATGTGATTGCAAAGAGGTGCCAGGAGAGGACAAGGAATGAAAGTCACATCAACCCTAATGGAACTTTTGCTGACGAAATATCAATAATGATCAAAATCCCTTGTTTGGCATCTTGCATCATCTTCATCACAGGCATATCTGACCATTCACTAAAAAACACACTCACTGTGTGACAGTTTGACCCGTCCTCTTTTACGCCTACTAGATATGACATATGAAAGCATGAAAGTATTAGCTGTTACTGACCATAATTGTCGACACTCAATTCCCCATGTTGTGACACAATATGGTCAGTAATAATCAGGTTAAGTGTAGACTGGTAGGTTAAGAAGGGAAAGTCAGTCGATGACGTTGTGAATCATTACTGACTGAGATGGTTGGTGTTACGCATACCTACCTATCATCTTCTTGTCGAGCAATGTTACCTAGCAGGGAACTAGGCTGGAAAGAGTCAGGAGTGGTCAGAACAAAACAAGGTACCCATCTACGAAGTACTTGACTGTTGGTCTGAGCCTTGTGGGGACCATTGTAGGCCTCCGCATAATATTAAGAATTGATTTTCGGAAGCTGTCGATGATATGTCTAAAAGTCGTTTACAATGGTGCAAATGCATTCACTTCTTGAGTTCCCCAAAACCTTGAAAGTCGTTGTGATACCTCATCTAATTATTCTACGATCGAAGCTCTTTGCACCTCTTTTATTTACATTAGGTGCTTCTATGAAATGTGACTACAGGAATGTGATGACTGTGTGTGTGAAAAGTTCTACGTCGGGAGTTTAGTTCACTATAGTCTGGTATTCAGTTACTTTTAAAAACAACGATGGTGAGTCAACTTACTTCAATAATTTTAACCCCCAAGTGGTAATAAAATTCTCCCAATCGAAGCGTTTCCGACCAACACCCATGACTGTATGCTAGAGGGTCAACACCAATACTACTGCACATTGCCTGGAATTGTGAACGTAATCGTGGGTCATCCTTAATTTTGCTCCTGTGTTTACTGGCGAATAACTCAAGAGACTGACGAACTTGTTGATATTGACGCGACAAATTTGTAATTTGATTCCCAGCTAACTCATCACCTTTTTCCTTATATTTAGAATGCGTAAGTGATTTGCTCTTAATTGATGCAATGCCGGCTTTTCTGTACATCCCGGAATTCGTTTACGGAGAAATTGGCATGTAATCTGATAGATTGTATGACAAAGTAACGTAAGTGAACTTTGATATTTGCAAGGGTTATATTATGAACAGACAGAAATAGAAAACTTTAAAATGTTTCAAAGAAACGGATTGATAGCCGCAGTTGAGATCTCTTATTAATTTACTGTAACAATAATCCATGGATTGCATTGAAGCGAATAGATGATATGGCAAAAAGAATGTGCTTTCATTCGAATTTTCCAGACGCCATCTATTCCATTGGACTACCTTCCATAACCTAACCAGAAGGTTCCAGGCAAAGTTAAACTTCAAGCACCACCAATCAGTGAATGACGTCGAAAGTAGCAATCATGTGAAGGAGGCGCTTTTGTGTATGGGATACATACTTATGAAAAATATGTAAAAAAAACTGTATAACAGTGCTACGGAGGTTACATTCCCTCTCACGTTTGATAAAAACAGCTCTCAGTTTAGGTTTGAGTATCAACAGAGTATAATCCCATTGTGGGTAAAATTTATTTTGATAAAGTCTCACGTGTTATACAGTAATATTTACTGGGCAATAAACTGTGCTCGATACGTCATCAGTAAATGCTACTGTATAATATTGTGAGAATTTATCCAAATAGATTTTACCCACAATGGAATTATACTCTGCCACAGTGCGCAAGTTCTATTCTTATATCAATGGAGTAATTTAAGCACATTCTATGTATATAATTATTTAGGTCTTCTAACCCTTACAATAACCCTAATCTTTCCTAAACCTAGCCCTAACGCGAAAATATGCCTAAACTAACTTGAATCAACCTATACCTCACAATCAAGAGGCGAGCTCAAAGAAATCAAAATGCTTTATACTAGCTCGTAAAAACGATATTGGAATGTTGCCAAAAATAGGTTAACCTAACCCTAACTTGTTACTGGCCTAAGCCTTAGCTTAACTTTTCTCAAACCCAATGTGAAACTTGATAGAAATCCCATTTAGTAGCATAACACTTCGATGAGCATAATTTATTAGTGATGAAAACATTATTTGTTAGGTTTCACTAACTTGCTCAGTGAGCGCTTCAAGGTCATTACAAAAAGATTTTTACCACGTGAACGCAGAAATATGGGTTTGCAGCACCAGTGAAAACTGTAAAAAATCCTTACTAGGAAAACATTTAAAAATTAAATTCTGGGGTTATAGTAAGAACATGTTTCACCTGTTAATGACCAATTGGTCATTTGAGGACAGCTTGACCGAAGAAGTATTAGTACTTCCATGTAAATGTAAGCGTCAATTCCAAATTTATTAGAGCAGAGAATCTGCTGGGAACGCAGTCAGTTGCGATTAAATAAGCTTAACGATTGTGATACCGTGAATATATAAATAAATATACAAATTTGCTACATATATGTAGCAAATTTACATTTGATTCACTGCATATGCAAAGTGACGAGGTATGAATCGATTAAAATAATTAATTTTACCCCCTAAAAAGTTTTTCTGTCCATAAGTTCGTTCAACAACGCGAAATAATAAGTACGACCAAGAAATACATATAGGGAACGTCTAGGTAACGTCCAACTCAAAAGCGTATATTCCTGGTCCAATGTACAACGTCGATTTCTAGTAGCGAATTACTAAGATCTGTCAATTTCCCTCCTTAAAATGTTTGTTTTTCATCAACAACCATGAAAATGTGTTTCATCTCTTTCTTATGGTATTACTGTCAGTCTAATCACGGATGTTTACTTAAGAAAATATTTTAAATATTTTTAGTATTCCATTGAAACGATTTGATCATCAATATACACTATTTTCCACTAGTTTTTATCCTTCATTTGTTCTTTAAGATGAGAGAGTGCTGGGAGATACCTTTAAACATGATATTGTGCTAAAAGTCGTAAATTAAGCATGCAAGCTCTGTTCTTCATGTCACAAGAAAGTAAAAATTCGAGGTTATATCCACCCTTATTTTAAGTTGTAAAGAAAACTGGATATGAATAGCAAGAGACTACCAGGTCGGAAGAACGAATAGGTGTAAAAAATACTTTACTGTGCATAACTACGGCGACATACTAGGAAAGTTACTGGAAACATACGAGACATCATAATGAAAAATCGGAGAAAATTCCTACCATTTAGAGAATGACATTAGTGCCTTGGAGCATTGTACTTGCTACACCATTCTGCTAAGGTAGGACTATGAAATGAATGTGAGATCATAGTAGTTAACCAATTTTAGTCGAATCAAAGCAGACCCACATCTATCCAAATTCTAATATGCTAAATAGTGCCGAGGATAGAAACCTCATGTATACTACCATCATACAAATTGTATTTTTCATATGCCATCCATTAAGTTCTAGCTCCGAGATGTATTCTGTGTATTTAACAATTATACTGGGCCGCGGAGTTTGGTAACAGAAAGGTTCGATACGTGTAGCTTTCGAGATTTCCCTTGCGGACACCGCACGTTATAGTTTAAATGACACAACAAAATCATCAGGCCATAAGCGTGAAAACGTATTCTGAAAAAACGGGTAGAAATATATGTTAAATGATTAATTCGCCAGAGATGTCATTCACCGCTACATACAAGCCCGAACATATCCGCACCGACTCAAAGTGAAGATTCAACTAGAGAGAATATTCTCAAGTTATTCGGCTTTCAATGTTTATCTGATTAAGTATACAGTGATGCAGTGTAAATAGCTTGCGAAAGAATATCAAAACAGCATATTGAAAAATGTACAGTTTTCGAGTTATAGAAATTTATGGTTACTTGATGATAAGGTTAAAGTCCACTGCTACGAATCATTAATATAATCCACAGAAGTGTCCACTACTCTGCCAATTTTCGAAGTTTACAACAAGGTTAGTAAAGAAGCAGGTAGACAGTATAGATCAGACAGAGTACGGAGCGACGAACGGCACACTACATTTCAGACTGTACTCCGGGGTTATGTGTATTTTACAATGAATCGTTTTAAACAAAAGCTATGTAGAGTGTTTCTATTTGTAACGTCTGACAAAAATATGTACAGTCACATTGTTCCCGAACCCACAAGTCATCTGATATCTTGTTGTCCTTAGTAACTGCTATAAATCTCATATCACCGAATTTGATACTGTGTTTCTAACAAGTTTACTGATAGGTTCACTACGGAATTGTTGGTGAGCACAACCTGTAACAGATATGCTTATATGATTGCACATTTCGTGTTCGTAATTTCTATATGGATTCCCTAACTCGTGCGCGTGGTTCGCTGGTTGATTGGAATGATTGACATTTCAGAGCTCCGAGACCCATTCGATAGCAGTTTTATGTTCGCTGCCCGTTGGTCTCAACATCTCATAAATTTGGCCCGTGGTCTTTATTTAGGGCAAGGAAATATGGTCCCAACTTTCTAAGAGCACAAACGTAGTTGTGAAGTTGCATTTATAGATGGTTACAGTAGTTAAATATCAGACTGGCCGCGCCCAGGAACACTTATCATATAATAAACATAAAAACAGCAATCACTCACAGGACACCTGCTTTGATAAGAAACTTCTCTAATAGTTACCTAATGCTTGTCAGCTATGTACTGTGAAGCTCTGTCGGCCCCTCTGATATGTGAAATAGCTTATTGAAAGGTAAATGTTTCTAACACCACGGTAGTCTAATAGGGACTCAATGCCTAGTATAATGGATTAAAACACGAAGTCTATCACTCCGCTTTTGAATTTAATATGTAATTTTAAATAACAATGGAGAGTGAAAATTAAGCACAATTGCTTTATTTTTTCTTCACGTGTCCAAATATGGTCTGTTGGCAGTGAAGGTTGACGTTGTGTGAATTTGAGAATATAGAGCTGAATCACTTTTTCTGATGTCTGTGTTTGCATTAACACTGAAATGCAAATAGCTCTCCTGACGAATGGCTGCTTTTTTGAGGATGACACCAGTCTTAAGGTCTTGGTATTTCTCTGCCCAGCGTTTCAGCAATGCAGAGCATCGTCATAGTCTATGTACCTCAGTGGAATTTAATAAAAGGGTAGGCACCGATAAGAATTCGGTTCACTTGAATAAGCTGAAGAATTCAGTTTTCATGGTGTTGAATGCACACTTAGGTTAATTTCCCATACCAGGTCAAACCTCCCAGCAAAACTGTGTGCACAGCCTATTGACGAAATTGCAGAAACATTTCAATTGTTCTGAGATATTTTCTTGACTTCCACCGATGCTATTTAACTTCTCTACATGTGTGGATACCCTACTGTAATGTTGCTTAAGCTGTGTTATAATTGTCTGTAACTCGGATTGGCGTTATTGTCATTGATTGGTGAATGAATTTATTTGGTTGGTAGGGAGACACGCCAAATATTGTGTCTTTCGTTCATGTCAGCATTTTGTATAAGTCCTTATAGAGAAGCCGTATTACGACTGAAAATGACTTTATGATTCAAACAGTGGTTCGAAATAAGATCCACATAGGAACCACGTCTCAGAACCTAAGTGAAACATTTACCAATGGTAGTAGTTCATTCTCATTAGTTTTTACAGGAGCGAAGCCAGTTTCCATATATCACTAATGCGCTGAGTTGCAGGATACACCACATATGCTTTTCTTCTCGATTTTTTATCCAGTGAGCTATTTCCAATTTCTTGAGGTTTGTAGGCATTCTTGTGGTTCTTGGTATGCATATCTAATGACACAAATTTCCCTGTTTTATATTATAGTCGTTGCATACGCTATCTCCAATCACTCTCCAAATACCTGCATCCATAATGTGAGCTTGTTAGCTCGTGCAATCTCGAATAAACATAATCCGCAACGCAGCATTGTTTGCAGAAGTGTCGCAAAATAAGTTGACGTGGATTTTCTCAACGGCAGTCGACATCATGGATGTTGCTTCACAAGAACAGCTATTTCCAGGGTGAAATGGTGCAACTGCACAGTAACCGTAGCTGAGTTGAAACTCTCAGGACTTTGTTGCAGTGATCTCGAAAAAACTGGTGTCTCCATTTGTGACTATGTCCATTACTGTTTGTAGTTGTCGATAAAAATCTTCCTTCGTCTCATGTTTCGCGCTGTTTGTAGCACTGTGTGTAGCATAGGATAATTGTGACCTTCTTTCCTATTGATTTGAGTCTTGCTGTCATGATCCTTCAGGACGAAGTTGGTTCCCACTGCATTAGGGCTTTTGTTACAGCTGGAATTCTATACGAGAATTATAAGCAATCGACCAGGGAGGCGGTGCTCATTTGTCACACTGACTATACACGGACGGATCGCAGCCTTGATGCAATCAAGTATGAGTGTTACTATCAACTGAATCAGCTTCTGAAACAGGTGCACCGTATAGATATCTGAGTGGTAGCTGGGAATCTGAATGCGCAGATCGGCTGTCTAGGCTCAGAGGGGCGTCAGTGGGGTCTACATTGTTGCAGGTAAGACAATGGGACCATCTTTTGCGAACCACCACCTATTTCTCGCCTGCACTAACTTCTTGCAAAGCCATTCCTGTGCATGCTGCCTCTGTCAGTCAAGCGTGGACACAGATTAATCACGTTCCTGTCAGTTTCGGATCGTGTAGATGCATACAAGACTGCTGTCCTTTCTGGAGCATATACCTGGATTCCAATCTTGTTTTAATGTGTACTGGTCTTATCTTGGTGCGTGGTGATGTTCATTATTGACGTCGCCTGCAGGTAGCACCTACTACTTCTGCAAAGTATTAGACTGAGTTAAACTTAAGGCTAGATAGCGACCCTCCAAATAGTGCAGACGAACACCGGTTATAGTTGCAAGACATTATGAAAATGGAGAATGAGACATCTTGTGGCTTGAAAGAAGGCTGCGCTGAAAACCACTTTGTTTCTACGAAATCCTTGAAACTTCAGGAAGAGCGCCAGTACATTCCGGCGAACACCGAGTATAACATTATGTGCGAGGTGCTTATGCAACAGATCAGATAGTTTTAACATAAGGACAGTGAAACCTGGTTGTTAGAACGTACACGTAATAATGATGTGCTTCATTCCAGAACAATACTAATGTTACAGTGTGCAATTTTCCGCATTTGGTACGTTATTGCATCTAATTTTATCAAATAATATTAAAAATTGTTATAAACATAATATTACAGGATTGGTAATGGCAGTTCTTGTTTGGTATTTGTAGTTACGGCGAAGTCATGTGCAAATATATATATTTACAAGGAAATTATAAATAGTAATGATAAGGTTTGTAGCTGAGACTATCAGTCAGTTGTGGTACTGTTACCATAGATCACAAATAGGGGTAAATAAAAGGGCCAATTACTTAGCTAACGTAGTAGTTCATAGGTTTCACACTTTACATTGTCTCTATTACATAGAACACGTCCCAAGTATTGTGCCATTGAGTTCCTATACTTGGTAGTACAGGGATATAATCTTTTGTACTGACTTCTGGTTCTACCAGGTAAGATACAAGGCGGGGAGATTTGGGAATAGAGGGGGCTGTTGTTGAGGGTCGGACAATACAGATTTAGACCGTACCTCGCATGAGTTGCTCAGATGTCAATCAACTAATGTAGTGACAAGCTGACTAAGTTGCACGCCACTTGACCTACTGACAACCTTAAATAACCTTCTCAAAGTGACATATGCCTTTTTCAGTAGACCAGGAAACACCAAGAGG